TCCTTTTTTAAAGCACTTTCAACAACAAAAGCATGGCCTTGGGAATCTTGGTTCCTCTGTCCTTCCCCATTTCAAATCCACACAGAAGTGGTGGCCAGAAAAGCAATGAGGCAGAAGAAGTTGGAGAGATTTGAGAGAAGGACTCAGCCGTTGCTGAGTTTGGAAGGTGAAGGGGTCATAAGCCAGGGAATGTAGGTGGCCCCTAGACACTGAGAGTGACTCCTGGCTAACAGCCAGCAAGGAAACAGGGACCTCAGTACTATAACCATAAAAATCTGGATTCTGTCAACCACCTGAATAACCTTGAAAGTAGATTCTTCCCAGAGTCTCCCAAGAAGAGCCCAACTGACTTACACTTTGATTTTGACAATGTGAAACCCAGAGCAGAGAAACCACCCACCATACTTCTGACCTATAGAAACCATGAAATAATAAATTTGGGTTGTTTTCAAGACACAAACATGGATTTGAATCCCTGCTGACCATTTAGTAACTCAAAAACACCACAGGCACATTGTTTAACTTCTCTAGGTCCGTGTTTCATCCTCTGTAAAATGAAATTAATAATGTCTGTCTTTTATTATGTGACATGTGTATGAAGTAATGTATGTAAAGCACTTGGTATCCATTAGGTGCTTTATATATGATATCATTATTGATTATTACCTAAAAACGTCACAGCTAGGAAAAATAATGAATAGTTGGATTTAAATTGGTGTCTTTTCCTATTATTTTTTAATAGTTTTTTTATTATGTTATGTTAATCACCATATATTACAACATTAGTTTTTGATGTAGTGTTTCATGATTCGTTGTTTGCGTATAACACCCAGTGCTCCATGCAGTACGTGCCCTCTTTAATACCCATCACCAGGCTAACCCATCCCCCTCCCCCCCTCCCCTCTGGAACCCTCAGTTTGTTCCTCAGAGTCCATAGTGTCTCATGGTTTGTCTTCCTATTATTACACAGTATGTTATAATATATTATAGCAGCAAGGACTTCAATCAAGCACCTTTGGTTCTCGGATGGGTCTTTAAGAAACAAAAAGTCTTGCTCCACGCTGCCACGGAGCTAACTAGTATGAAACAGCAATCTCTTGGTATTCAGTAACCAGACCCCAACTTTTCTGATGTGAAGCACTGAGAGCAAAGCTAAGAATAGTCCTTTAGGAAACCTCTGTGTTACAAAACAAGCAGCGCTGGGGCCAAGGAAAACAAGCAAGGGGACTTTTCTGAAATCCAGGGGTATTTTTTGCAGCCAGTTACCCAGTGTCGGCAAACAGTCTGGCTACACTCAGGAAAAGCTCTGTCAATCCACCAGGCTGCCCGCACTTGTTTCTTCCGCTTTGGGAATTCACCGCAGTTGGCTCATTTTGAAGATATTCCCATTAGTTATTTCTTAGATCCCAAAACAGAAACCGGAAATTTCAAGATAAGGTACTGCCAGATAGGAAGCAAGGAAACACATCAAATTTCTAAGTCTCAGAATCGTTTAGGAAGTTCATAATGGGGAATTAGTGGAAATACAGGGTCCTTTTGAAGGAGGTTATGAAATTAACTGAATATCTCCATATTTACATCACTTCTTCAGCAGCTATTCTCTTTCTTTGGTTAAAAACCACTTACTTTTCATGTATAAGAACTCAGAGCATCCACTCATCCCAAATATTCCTTGTTTGGGACCAGCACTGTTAGCAGCAGGGCCTCTGGCTTTCCAGCAGAGAAGGTGTCGGGATTAGCTACAATGACATTTTGGTACCTATAACTGAGCACCAGCCATAGGGTCTTCTTGATATTCTCTCCTAACTTAGGTGGCCCTGGGCTGTTCTATCTCAAAGTTGGGCATCTGTTTCAGAATCACCTGAGATGTTCATTGATAGTGTACATTCCTGGGCCCACCCAGACCCACTGAATCAGAGTCTCTGAAGTGTTGGACCTGAAGGCATGCATTTTAAACAATCTCCCTGGGTGTGGGAGCTCAAACAGAGAAAGCCCAGGGCTCCTGCCTGACCCAGGTGTTCTAAGATAGCTACAAATCCCAAATGAGTGAAGATGCCTTCCTGGGGAATAAATTCAGAGGGAACCAGACCAGTTTTCCATCAAATAGTCTTATGCTCTGACGAAACAAGAAATGCCACTTTTATACCATGATACTGTTAATTTTATTTCACAATTTGGGGTGTGTGAGAAATATCAGATTTTTATTCTGTAAATAGAATTATATCCATATTGGGATTTCTTCTCCCCACATTAGACTCTGCAGAAGCACATTAGGTGTTTGGCAGAGTAGAATGTGGGGGCAAGCTATAAAGACTTTAAAAAAAAATTGCCCAACAAAACTGCTCAGACATAAAGGAACCAACTGAGAGCCCTGGGAAGGTCAGTGCCCATGCCTTGCAGTTCCCTTCAGCAGTGAGGAACCAAAGCCAAATTCACACCTTGACCGTTGGTCTTGCCCCATGTGGTTATGGCTGGTTCTACCTCCCACTAACCCCAATAGTCTCCTGTCTGTAGCTTTTATTTGTCCCTAGCTATTGGTAGTGTACAGCTTTGGATAAAAATGGAACATTTGTCTTGGCAACCCCCAAATCCTTTTCCTGGCCATCTCTCACTCCCTCGGGGATGCCTCTTCACCATAAAGGTAAGAATGGATCTGGGCACAGAAGGGAAAGTTGGTAAAGTCCTTAATGCCCATTAAAGGCTGGAGAGGAGAAGACAAATGACTTCCAGGAAAAAGGATGAGGAAGCCAGGAAGTATGGCGCCTCACAGATGAAATAGCTCTGGTAGTGGCGCCTGGGGTGAGCCCATGTTTGCACTGTCTTTCCTCTTCCCTTAGCCCTCCCAGTGTGGATGTTGCAAAGGAGTCCATATGAAGCCTGAGTTGAAACCCAGCTACATCTTCAGAGCCTGGGAGATTCAATGGGGCCTTGAGGCCCCTCTAGTCAGCCTGTTACTCAGGGAACATAGGTTTATTTGGGGAGGGGGAGATAATACTCAACATCCCCAACTATTCAGCTCTCACCCAATTTCTTCAACTCATCCTCCATCTCTAGCAAGTGGGTGCCCTCATCAAATCCTGACAGTCGCTGTTGCCCCCTCCTAGCCCTCACTGTGCTGACGTCTCTCTATGAGAGGCAGACTGAGGAAAGCCCCTCATCCCCCAGTCCCCAGGTGCCTAATTTGCTGGCTCAACCTCAGGGGCATATTCTGGGAGAATGCAGGATAACTTTAAGGGTGAGTGGGTTTGTAATATCCCCCCAACCTCTAATAATAAATTATCTTTACTGTCAAATTTCTTCCATGTTCTTTCTCTTATACCTTCTTCTGGTATTGAGTTCTCCCCCCGAAGTTCTCTCAATGTAAATTTAGCCACAGAGAGAATTTGCTTTGGAATTAGGATCTTCTGGAAAGTGCTTGTAGGGGTCAACAACTTTTCCTGTGGAAATTAAAATGATCCCCATTTATTGTGTCTATCATTTAAATTAGACAAGATGCAGATTTGGAGATATCACCCCAAAGAAATGTCACAATGAAGAGCAGAATAAGTGATATTATATAGATCTCCTTCAGTTGCATTTGGACACAGGATTCTTTATACTGTTTTATTTCTACTATAAAAGTAATAAAGGGCCATTGCCAAAGTTGGAAAATGCTGAAAATAATCATGAAGAATATAAAACTTACCCCAAGTCTTGGCATGAGAGATAGCCATTGTTAACATTTTGGTATAGTTTTGTTTTTCTTTACACATTCATATTTTAAAACTGTTAAATAAAATTGGAGTCAAGTAACTATGAGTACATATAGTTTTCATCTTTATTTTTTCTCACTGAACAAATCATGAATAAGCGTTTTCCAGACATGGACAACTAAGTCTGTTTCCCATTTTTGTTATTTTTAAGAAACAAGGCCTTATATCAAACATTTACCTGGGAGATATTATTTCTAGTAATTTAGCTATAACTATCCACAGAATTTAAGGATTAATATATACCTTGTGATTCATTCCTCTGTGAGACAGTGTATCTTAAAATGGGTTGTACTGGTAGGTGAGAGAGAGAAAAAACAAAAGATTGGTGGCCCACTGTTGACAGCTACAGATGAGAAAATTAAGAATGGTAGCCCACAGATAGTAAAACTAAGGCTGAGTTTGCTTATGTTCATGAAATTCTGGTTACTACCACAATTACAGGAGTCTGGTTACTACCACAATTACAGGAGAGATGCTGCTAAAGAGCTAAGTTTTCAAATTTTTTAAAGACATCGATTTTATGTTATTAGAATTTAAAACCCCACATTTGTGCCATATTAATAGGATTCATGTAAAATAAAAAGGCTTGGAGGACTTGAGTTTCTGACATCACTGTAATTTTTTGGTGTTAAGGATATTCCCGGGAAAGTTTGGATGCTGCTGGGGAATTCCTCTTTACTGGGTTTGGACATATCCTCTTATTACTCACAGGAAGCGAGCTTCCCTATAAAGGGGCTCCGGCAGGAGCAGCGCTCTGCTGTTCTTGGCTGACTTCACATCAGAACTGCTAAGTGGCACGAGACAGAAGCAGCAGTGACACAAACAGGATTCCAACGCGTGCACCAAAGCCACCGCTTGACAGAACAGTAAGTGCAAAAGGGTCTTTACAAGGGTGGCCTTGAAACAGGATTGTCAATATGAATAGAGATGCAGAAAGCCTTTTGATAAAAGACCTGTGCATGTTCTTGTTGTACCCGGACCAGTTAAACTCTGGCTTTTCTCTTTCACCTAAATGATGAAAATCTTAAATTTTGTATGTATTCATTCCAGTCGACTTCCTTGAAACAAACTGAGATGATGGCACTGTTATCCTTTAGCTAAAATCTTATGATACTGCTGAAAACATCTTCATAGAATGATCTCAGTAACCAGCTACCTAAAATTTCTTTCTGCAATGAATTTTGTAATTTTTCTCCCCAGAAGGGCATTTCAAGACTGATATTTTGATAAAAAAGAATCCTAGAAGTCATGATCGCTTCACAGCTTCTCCCTGTTCTCACTCTTGGTAAGTCAATGTCATTCGTTAGATCAGGGTTTCTCATCCTGGACACTATTGGCATTTCAGGCAGGATAATTCCTCCTTGTGGGGGGCCCATGCTTTGTATGATGTTTAGCAGCATCTCTGGCCTCTCCGCACAATGCATTCCATCCTGGGTTAGGGACAATTTACCTCTTTGTGTCTCAACTTCCTAATGTGTAAAGTGTTGATCATGAGTGGCCTATTTCCCAGAGGCATCGTGAGGATGCAGTATTATGGAAACGGCCTCAGACAGTTCTTGTGGTGCATATTAAGTGCTCAGTAAGCTTAGTTATTCTGATTATTATTCTACTGTAGTGGATATCCCAATAGATTGTGGTGGGTGAGTGCAGAGAGGCTCAACCACAAAAGATACACACAATAAGTGGTTTCTCCATCTATACCTCTTCTTACTTTGGAAAAGGTGAAAAAAATTCAAGTCATTCCAAGGCCACTGGTTGATGAAAATAAGACTATAAAAAGCCCAATTAATAGAGTCAAACTATATTAGGACTAACCTTTCCATGCCTTTCACACTTTCCCCTTTAGCGCTTCTCCTATTTAAAGAGAGTGGAGCCTGGTCGTACAATGCCTCCACAGAAACCATGACTTTTGACGAAGCTAGTGCTTACTGTCAGCAAAGGTACACGCATCTGGTTGCGATTCAAAACCAAGAAGAAATTAAGTACCTGAACTCCATGTTCAGCTATTCATCAACTTACTACTGGATCGGAATCAGAAAGGTCAATAAGCAGTGGACCTGGATAGGGACCCAGAAGCTTCTGACCGAAGAAGCCAAGAACTGGGCTCCAGGCGAACCGAACAATAAGCAAACCAATGAAGACTGTGTGGAGATCTACATCAAGAGAGACAAGGACACGGGCAAGTGGAATGATGAGAGATGTGACAAAAAGAAACTTGCCTTGTGTTACACAGGTACGGGGCTTGAGGCATCCGTGGGAGGGAGTTTCAGGCTGAGGGCATCTTGACAAATTATTGACAGTATGCAAAACCTGGTCTCTATTATGGTAATGTTATGTTCTTAAAAAATACAATTTTAAAACATTCTGTTGGTAAATTATATCTTTTTGCTTCTTTGTGTGAATGTAGGCAAGAATGTATGTATATATGTAGGTCAATACATAGGCAGTGTATGCATATACAACACATATTTTAGTTACTCATTTACTTGTAGAAGGAAAACTATCTTGAAATTTTGTGATAAAGAAAATTTTCTATTCTTGATGCCAATGACAACTGTACCCCTGACACCTGCACATTAACATCAGCTTAGCTTAAAACCCAGCTTTGGCGTTGCATGAAGCACTTCAGCTAAAATCTCTGGCAGTCCCTATAAATGGTGACATCTCTGTCACACGCTGTTGATCCTCAACCCAAAGGAACGCATTATAAGCACAATGACGATCCTCTTCCTCATTGTGTTTTCTGCAGCTGCCTGTACCCCTACATCCTGCAGCGGCCATGGTGAGTGTGTGGAGACCGTCAACAGCTACACCTGTGAGTGCTACCCTGGCTTCAGTGGACTCAGGTGTGAGCAAGGTAGGTCCCCGTCTCACCTGCTCCTTCACTTGACTTGGTAGCACCTTCCCATGTCCCAGCTGGCTTGGGTGTCAGGTGTGCATGTCCTCCCTTCCCCAGGGCACGTAGTGTCATGTGGTGCTTAAGAGCCCTGGCTTCAAATCCCAGATTTACCCCCAGGGCTTTCTCACTTTATGCTAGGTGACAGAGGATCTGATGTGGTTTCTCCTTTCAGTTGTGACCTGTCGAGCACAGGAAGACCCTGAGCACGGAAGCCTGGTTTGCACCCACCCTCTGGGGCACTTCAGCTACAATTCTTCCTGCTCCATCAGCTGTGAAAAGGGTTACCTCCCAAGCAGCACAGAGACCACGTGGTGTACTTCCATAGGGGACTGGAGCGCTCCTCTTCCAGCCTGCAATGGTAAATCTCTCTCTGAATGCACACAACACTCTCTGACTCATCCCTCATGTCCTTGTTTTTTTGTTTTTTTTTTAATCCAACTTATAGCACTTTCGAAACTCTAGGGAAAGTTCTTTTTGTTGTTCTTAATAAGACTTCTTCTCCCAGCCAATATGTGTGGTCAGTAGGATGCCTGCTTGATTTGAGATGTTTTTAGAAAAACCACTGTGTTTGAGATGGGTGCTTCTGAGGCTCTGGTGATGTGTAAGAGAGTGCCCATAGCGCTGGCACCACACTCAAGAAATCTTCATGACTTCTGCTTGGCCTTTCTTGATGCAGTAGATGCATAAGACCATGGGAGTCAAGCAGTCCCAACAGCTCTTTTTCTCTCTCAGGCTTATCTTTCTAGGCTGGAGAAGAAGACTTTTTGCCTCCAGGTCCTGCTGGGCTGACATAAATGAATGTCTTGTGTATGTCAGTATTTTTGTTTTCACAACTAGTCATAAATCCTGATCGAGAAACTGTTTTTTTCTTTGTTTTTGCCTTCTGTAAAGTAGATCAGAGGCATGATGAGAGATATGATAACATAGATCAGAGACCACTCAGCATAGTCAAAGTATAAATCAATCAGAGAAGATGAAAGTATTAATAAAAAAGCATAAAAACTTTATAGTGTATGTGCATGTCCCCCCAAATTAACTTAGGACTTTGGGATTTACTGTTTGAAAGCTGCTTCCTTGCCCTTTTATAAATTTCAACTCACTAGGAAGTGAACATATCATTCTTCTGTAAAATTCATGATATTCTTTCAAATCCCCAGTGGTTGAGTGCAATGCTTTGACAAAGCCTGCCAATGGCACTATGGACTGTCTCGAAAGCTCTGGAAACTTCCCATGGAACACATCTTGTGCCTTTGAGTGTGAAGAAGGATTTGAACTAATGGGACCCAAGCGCCTCCAGTGTACCTCATCTGGGAATTGGGACAACAAGAAGCCAACGTGTAAAGGTAGAGTTGCTCCATGTCAAGATTTACTGTAAACGTTCTTTTTCTCAACCTGTACTTGAAATGGTCAGGCCAAACCTGCTAATGTACGTGGGTGTCTATGTTACAGCTGTGACATGTGAGGCCATTGACCATCCTCAGAATGGGTCTGTGAGCTGCAGCCACTCCCCAGCTGGCGAGTTCACCTTCGGGTCCTCCTGCAATTTCACATGTGAGGAAGGCTTCCTGGTGCAGGGGCCAACCCAACTTGAATGCACAGCACAAGGGAAATGGAATCAGCAAGTCCCAGTTTGTGAAGGTAAGCCCAAGAACTTCTTTACATACCCCCTTCCTTAAAGGGCAGCAATCTTCAAACTTGGGCAGTTAAAATGAAACTGGATGCTTACTTTAACTAGAGTAATCAGATGTGATGGGCAATGTTCATCTTATGTTTTTGAGTTTCATATAAAAGAACCAATGCTTATCCAGGGAAAGGATTGTACATACTAAGAGTGGATGCTTTGCTGGTTTCTTGTGCTGTGCGAATGTGGCTTTGTAGGCATTGGCACGGAGTAGGCAGACCCCTTAATCTAAGGGGAAATCACATGAGAACATTTAAAGGTAGGATTGTGAGAACATGACTTGATTTTAAAACTCTTCTAATACTTTTCTTCTGAAACTGCTCATAATTAGCAGTGACTAGAATGTGCCAAGTGTGGTGTCATGTGTAAAGACAGGCTTAATACCTACATAAGCACTAAAATTTAATTCACTTTAAAGCAAGAGCAATGATGTTGAAAACAAGCAGTTTTCATTATCATGTCCTGGTATTTCTGTCGCCAAATATAGCACAGAATGATTTCCAGTGGTAAGAAGCCACAAGACCAAAACCAAACTGCAAAGCAGACACATTTTTAATTTTTATTTTTTTTAAAGATTTTATTTATTAGAGAGAATGAGAGAGAGAGAGAGCATGAGAGCGGGGAGGGTCAGAAGGAGAAGCAGACTCCCTGCTGAGGAGGGAGCCAGATGTGGGACTCGATCCCGAGACTCCAGGATCATGACCTGAGCCGAAGGCAGTCACTTAACCAACTGAGCCACCCAGGCACCCCAAAGCAGACACATTTTTTGTGCTGCCTTCTTACCTTCCTTTTGTGTTCTGGCATCATCTGTTAGCATCCGGGACCCATAATTTGCTCTCTGACTACATAAAATCTTTCTCTTGACTATAACTTCTTTCAAATGTCAGAACAGTGCTCAGGAACCACTGGTTCTATTAAAGGCTATCCTTTACTGAGTGCCATTGTCAATGAAGGGATTGGCATTCAAAGAAAACACCGTCATCTTCCCAGTTGTCCAGGGAGTAATGAAGAGCCTTGAGATCGCTGAGCATTGCTTTGTCCAAAATGAATGGGTTCATTCATCAAATGCTAAGCACTCTCCAGTTCCACTGCAATATTTTCTGACCATCATTTTGGTATCTCAGCTTTTCAGTGTAAAGCCTTGTCCACCCCAGAGAAAGGCTACATGAGTTGTCTTCCTAGTGCTTCTGGAAGTTTCCAAAGTGGGTCCAGCTGTGAGTTCTTCTGTGAGAAGGGATTTGTGTTGAAGGGATCCAAAAAACTCCAGTGTGGCCCCCCAGGCGAATGGGACAGTGAGGAGCCCACATGTGAAGGTACAGTTTTTGTTTTTAAGATAAAAACAATTGAAGAGCTAGGGGTTTGATGACATGAGAAAACTGTTGCTTCCTGATACAGACTTCTAATGTGCTTACTCGTATCCTTCAGCTGTGAAATGTGATGCTGTCCGGCAGCTCCAGCGTGGCTCTGTGAGGTGTGCCCATTCCTCTACTGGAGAGTTCAGCTACAGGTCCTCCTGTGCCTTCAGCTGTGAAGAAGGCTTTGAATTACATGGGTCAGCTCAGCTTGAGTGCACATCTCAGGGACAGTGGACACAGGAGGTCCCCTCCTGCCAAGGTAGGATTGAATTTAGACTTTAAGGGGTAAGGTCAAATATTTCATACGTGTCTGAAGCTAGATTGCCCTAATGGGTGTGATCCTAATTTCCTACATGCTGAAAACTAAGTAGTGCTTATAATTTACGTTTATTATGACTTTTCAGCCAGTTTTAGACATTTTCCAGGAGACTTTTGTTAACCTCCACCCATGTGTCCATCATTTGCAGTGGTACAATGTTCAAGTCTGGCAGTTTCTGGAAAGATGAACGTGAGCTGCAGCGGGGAGCCCGTGTTTGGCGCTGTATGTGCGTTTGCATGTCCTGAAGGATGGACACTCAATGGTTCTGCAACTCTGACGTGTGATGCCACAGGACACTGGTCTGGGATGCCGCCTACCTGTGAAGGTGAAGCACTAATTGGTGCTGGCTGTCTGGGGCGGGGGGCTAGACAGAAGAAGGGGAAAGTAATGAACCATTCATTATGTTCACACTAGGAAGGTTCCCAAGGTTGAGAAGCTGGTGAATATTTAATTTTATGGTGATAGAGAGGAAACAGAAGAGGTGACGGGTGGATGGAATGGGTAGAATTCTGACAAGTGGAAAAGGAGAGCTAGAGGTCAAAGCAGGGAAAAGGAAGACAAGTAATGGAGAGAGCACGCGTGGTCTTGACCGAGGTGCAGTGGGTTCTGTGAAGAGCTTGGCAGGTTAGAGGTCTCTTGGCAGTGGCGGGAGACAAGCTGCCACAGGTGGTTTGGGCCCATCTCAGAAGTCTTTAGTCCCTATCATGTCTCCTCCATATGCATTGAAGTAGACGGCTCATCAGTGTGCAAAGGAAAGGGCAAATGGACAGAACAGAAAGACTTTAAATTCAGTTTCTTCTCATGACAGTTCTTCCCTCTCTGTTTCCCTAGCTCCCACTGAGTCCAATGCTCCCCTGGCAATCGGACTCGCCGCTGCTGGGACCTCCCTCTTGACATCAGCCTCATTTCTCCTCTGGCTCCTGAAACGCCTGCGCAAGAGAGGTAAGGGAGCTTGGGAGCATACTCCAAAAATGTTCTTGAAAAATGTATTTCTTTTTCTCATTGATGAGTCATGTTCTCTCTTGCACATTAGTAATTAGACTCGAGTTACTAGAGAAACACTAATGAACAGTATAATTGAGCCATGGTCTTAGAGAAAGAGCATATAGTACAACTCAAAGTGGGAAGAGTTTTAGGAAATATACACGTTATTTAATAGTGGACAGCTCCAAGGGATGCCATTCACAGGGAATTCTGTGGCCCCCCCTGAGAGTTGTGCAGTGAAGCTATAGGGTTGTGCTCCCAGGAAATGGCGAAAACGTTTCCAAAACATTTATTGGGAATACAGGCTTAAATGTGGGAGTATCTCCTGGGGACCCTGCAAACACATCTAGCCACACTCAGGGTTTGTTTGGCTTATGGAATAGTTAACATTTTTTTAAATTAAGTTCTGACATTTATAAAATGGGAAATCTCACATAAAATCTAGATTCGGGATTTCTCATGAAAAACTGGCAGGTGAACTCTGCACGCTGAGCCTGCAGCTGTCGCTAGCATTAGGAAACTGCTAGGCCCTTAGGATGAGCGTGTGCTTTGCATGTCACCCCCTTGGCACCAAGCTGTGTTTGCACTGGGCTTATCACAGGGGCCTTGAAGGCGTAGAGTTTGCAGTCCCTGGTGAATAGAACCATAGTGTTTCTGAATGTGATATCTCCTTAAAAGTCCTTTAGTTCAAATTAATGGTTTTCTTTTTCTTACAGCAAAGAAATTTGTTCCTGCCAGGTAAGTTGCACTCTTGTCCAAAGCATGCCATTGAATATTCTACACATTTTTCTCTGTTTATGTTGGAAAACAGGGCTTAATTTAGTGTTCTCATGTATTCCGCAGCAGCTGCCAAAGCCTTCAATCAGACGGATCCTTCCACATGCCTTTGTAGTCATTTTAAGTCGAAAGGAATCAGGTAAGACTTGAAATCACATATGATTTTGAAAGAACGTATCCTCTCTTCATGTTCTGTTGCTCCTTGAGCCCTCCAAACCTGCTGGTTTCTTGGGGGAGAATCACCACCTTCATGGTGTTTTATGGAAGTTTGTTTCATTTCTTTGTAGAAGGAGAGGAAAAAAACAAATTTGGCCTTTATAGAGTCATTTCACTTTTGAAAGTTAATAATAATAATGCTGATTGTTAACCCTTATGTGGCACTTACTATCTTCTAGAAACTGTTCTAAACTAGGAATTGTATGAGATATGGACTGTTGCTATATAACTAGAATTCTAACATACCCCCGAACCTCCAATGTCCTCTGTTATTAACAACTTGTGTTAGTGTGGCATTTTGTTACAATTGATGGGCCAATACAAATCCATTATTATTAACTAAAGTCCACAGTTTACGTTAGAGTTCCCTCTTGGTTTTGTATATTCTATGGGATTTGACAAGTGTATAATGACATGTATCCACCATTCCAGTATCATACAGAATATTTTCACTGCCCTAACTGAATAGGATTTTGCTGTTCATACTTGGACTCTCCAGTGACAGTGAACACAGTGGTCTGTGCTAGAAGGTGAATTTTGTTGTTGCTATTAATGCAGAATATTAAGTGTCCTGATGGCATGCATTCTTTGTTTGCAGGAACACAGGTACCTCCAGGGAACTAGAGAAATACCCTGATGATGGCAGAGACAGAAAGGGCTCCTCTGGTCTCTGGTGTTTCCCAGTTCCCACATCCACTGCTTTTACAGCTGGGAGGATGGCACCCATGAGGACTTCCAACGGTCCACACTCTAGTGGGTGAGGCCAGCCTGCCACCAGCAAGACTCAGCTTTCTCTTTCCTGTTCTCAGCACCTGGAAAGTGCTGGATGATGGAGGAAAAGCATATTCTCTTCTGGACAAAAGTGAAGAGACTCAGGCTCTGGAATCTCAGAATTCCTGTTCTAACTCTCACCCCTGCTCACTATGAGATCTCAGTGGAGAAACACAGTATTTTTGGTATTGTTTCTTTCTTTTGCCCCTCACTGTGTCTCAACTACTGATCACATGGTTGCTGTCATGGGGATGAATAATTCTCAGGAGTTTAGGGAAAACAACTTGGCCAAAGATATTCTATTACCAAAGTGCAAAAAATGATAATTTTTTAATGCCCACGGGCGAGTGCATGGGGAAATCCTACTTAATACTCTGTGTGAGGATTACTAAGCACAGTCTTAATCACTTTTATCCCTGTGGGACTCAGTGCTTTATAAAGTGCTCTTAGAGATTGTGTTCTTTTATTTGCATTGACTAAAGTACAATCTTCCCTAATTCTTAATTCAATACAAGTGTTGTAGGGACTTTAAAATATGTGCATGTTAAGACTGTGTTAGGGTAAAAGTTACTTAACCTAGATCTTTGTGTATTAACAAACATAATGTTATGTCTGTAGTAAATTTGTCCCCCCAGAGATGTATAATGTTAACCAGTATAAAGTTGTGAATGTTTTACTATAGTTGCTTTTAAAAACATGAGTAGTGGGGCTGCTGCGTGGCTCAGTCTGTTAAGTTTCTGCCTCTCGTTCTCAGCTCAGGTCTTGGTCTCAGGGTCATGAGTTCAAGCTCGCATTGGGCTCCATGCTGGGCATGGAGCCTACTTTAAAAAAAATAAGTAAAGACATGAGTAGTATCAGGAGAGTAGAACCTGAACGGCATACACTTGTACACTGTCATCTCTGTTTTCAGAGGTATGTGGTTTTCCATGATGAAAAACTTCCATGAGGCCAAGTGTTCTGATTTGAAAAAAAAGTGTAAATGCATACAAATGAAGGTACACTTTTATGAATATCTTTGTTGAAAAAAAAGTAGAAATATGGATGTGCTTTGCATCCCTACAAAGATGTTGTCAGATGCGATGCATCAACATATAATTCTTGCATACTACGTAAGATTTTAAATTCATGATAGGAACTCACCATGTAAAGGATTTGTCCAGTGGATTTTTTTTTCAAGTGGAGACTTTTAATATTTATTCCCTAATTGCGTTATTCTGTTTGTTAGGGTGTTCATGAAGAAAGGAAGGTCTGGATGAGTGCGTATTTATATTTATTTATAAATATAGGAGGTTAAAATTACTAAGGAATCTCCGGTTATCAGTTGATCATTGGCAGTGAGAAATTCTTGGCCTGTCCATCGCCAGAGCTTCTCACTCCATCTTGCAAATGACATGAGAATCAAAACTCTCCCACACTTTCACTAATTTAGGATGTGTTGAAAAAGCAAAGTTTCAGACAAGTGCTGGCTGTATGTTGGCCAAGACAAAGCCAAAAGCAAACAGGGAGGAATGCTAAGGGTCAGAAGTTCAGAGATTTTGACAGAGCAAAGAACTCTGGGAAATAAGGGAGAGAGAAATAAACAACTATTGCGAGCAGGCTACCTATGGAATGGATTATTATTTTCTCTGAAACTGTTCAAATGTTGTAAATATAAATATTTATATACTGCAATGGAAATAGCTGTGTGAAATGTAAATGTGGTCTGCGTTTGGGTTTAATAAAGTATTTTAAATTATGATTTAAAATATTTTATAGTTTTTAAAGTATGTATTTATTTAAGCTTATGCCATACCCATTTTGTATTTGACATGGCAGTACAAAGTTTGATAATAAACATGTTTATATTTAGTTCTGTGTGTAGGTTCTTTCTTAAAAGTTCTATTTTATTTAGATAAAATTCACATTCCATAAAATGCACCCTTCTTAAGTGTACAGTCCAGTAGTTTTGGTATATTCATAAGATGGTTCAACCAACACCACAAGAGAGTTTTGGCTATAATCAAGGGGATTTTGTTCTTCTCCTTACTCTCCCAATGGTGTCAAATCCTTCCTATCAATAGTTCTTGTAATAACCCTTAACCAGCTGTGCTCTCACCGACAGCCTTAGAACAAATTCTTATCACAACCCCTGGATTAAATGATAAAATCCCCGGCGTCTCCAGGCTCTCAGTCTGCTGTTGGAAGGGACTGTGACACAGCCCACAAGTCACACAAAATCTAGTCTTGCCTGTCTCCCATCCTCATTTCACGCCATGCCCCTTCAAGCATTGTACTCCATCCACAAGGGAGAGCTGTGTCTGCCCACTTTGATGCCTTTGAACACATCGGCTTCTTTCACCTGGAGTTACACACCCTCCTCATCAAGGAGTCCCCCATTCTTTGCCTGCTTGACTCCTACTCAGGTTTCATGTTCTTTGCTCAAATGTCCCTTCATGGCAATTGACTCCTTAGATTAAGTCACCTCTTTAATGCTCTCACAACCCATATTTTTCTTCCTTCCTTTAATCCTAATTAACTAATTATTGTGTAATTGCTTAATACCTGTCTTTTCTACTACATTCTAAGTTCCTTAAGGGTAGAAGCAATTTACCTTGTTCATTGCTCTGTTCCTAGAATGTAGCATATTCCTGATATACCATAGATACTTAACAAATATTTTTTGAATGAATGAATGAATATGTGGACAAACAAATGCAGATAGGCTCATGATAAGGAACAGGACCAATTTTCTCAAGTGGAATGAGTTGTCTCAGAAGGCAAGGTTTGAAATCCAGTTATGGAGACAAGATAGGTTTGACAATAGTACAGAACAGAATGGAAGTAAAGATGAAATAAAGGAACTAGTTAATGGCCTGGAGGTTCAGTGAGGTACGATTGACAAGTGCTGCAGTGAGATACTTGAGCACTAGATCTACTAGAATAGGTGACTGTGATTAAAGGGGGGGATGCTGGAGTATGTGATTTTCAAGTTGACACAGTTTGGGGTGATGTCAAAGTTGAGGCTGTGTCTAGGGGAGAAGGTAGTTCAAGCTGAGTGGAGGAGAAGCATGCTATTGGAGAACTGGGCACCCTGGCTGTGGGGTTACTGGTTGTTGTGTGAGACTGCATATTCCTTCTACCCATGATAAACTCATGTTGGAAACTGCAGTGAACACAGCTTTGGTTGGCAGCAATGAACAAGTAAGCCTTGCAGTCATCTGTGATGGGGGATAGGCACAAGGGAAGGCTTCTTCTGTCAATGGTACTCAATGACCCAAATAGTTCTCCAGCATTGGTTTCAGTCTCTCTGGGGTTTTGCGATGGTTTATAATGCTCACCTACTCATTCTAGTTCTGCCCTTTGGGTACCACAGAATAGCAAAATAACCACTCTTCTCCCAACAACCTTTCAAGTGGCTGCTAACATGTCCCATGACCTTGCCTACCCCAAATCTTCTCTTGAGATTGAATGTGCACTATTTTTAAAATTATTATTATTGAGGTAAAGTTTATATAACATAAAAGCAACCACTTTAAAGTGTACAATTCAGAGTGATATTTAGTACATTCATAGTGTTGTGCAATCACCACCTCTATCTAGTTAAAAATATTCTCATCAAAAGAAAACCCTATACCCATTAAACAGTCAGTCCCTATTCCTCTCTCCCCATAGCCCCTGGCAACCATCAGTTTGCTTTCTGTCTCTGTGGATTTGCCTATTCTAGATATTTCCTATAAATGAAATCACACAATATCTGGCCTTTTGTGTCTGGCGTCTTTCACTAAACCTAATGCATTCAAGGTACATCCACACTATATCATGTATCAGTACTTCATTCCTTTTCATGGCTGAATCATATTCCATGGTATAGATGAATGTGCACTAAATTTAAACCAAATTTCTCACTGTACATTCAAGAAAAGTGTTTTTAACAAACACAAAATCCATCCGTATGACTCAAAAACATCCATATGAAAAATGCTTTGATAAAAGCCAAAAAAACACAGCATTGATGGACTCAGTGAGGGGAACTTAGTGAGGGGCTAAGTTGATGTGGTCTGAGTCCTTTAGAAATCCAACTTGATATAAGGCCAGAATTTAAAATGTATAGAAAGGCGAATAAATTGAGTGTCTATCTGACAATGTCACTAAATAACTACCCCCACCCTCCCAAAACCCAACTTTGGGTGGACCCAAGGTCTTTCCTTCTCTTGGACAAGGGCCTGAAATGTTGGTGTACCTTGTAGACATGGTGCAAGTCTAGAGCTTGAATGTAGTTTTGGCTAGATGCCTGATGACCTAAACCAGCTTTCTGAAGAAAACCCTGGATCTTGGTTTTCAAAGAATAAGAATGTCCAACAAACCAGTAGAACAACAAAGATATCCAACAAAATAATGAGACTAAAAAAAAAAAAGGAGATAAAGTCTTTCTTTAAAAAAGAAAGGGACATTTGCAGTTTATGACCAAAAAGGGGTTTATTTATCCACTTATTCAATTGGCATTTATTGAATGCTACACCTTCTGCTTCTGAAAATATAGAGGATTAATATTCTGAAAACTCTTCTGCTATAACATTTTAAATTTCTAGGTGAAATTTAAATGAATAAATTTAAATGAATAACTGAGCTTACAAAAAAGAATGGAAATCTCAGAGGATAAAAATGATTAGGAAGCAGGTGCCTGACCATGTAAGATTTTGTGAGCCAATATAAGGACTTTAGATTTTACTCTGGGTGGGATGAGAAGCCACTGGAGGGTCTGACGTGTGTTCTTTCTTGCTGGTTATTTTCTTCCCCTCTGCCACCCTCCCTCACTACCCATCTATTCTCAGGTCTCCCTGCCCTGTGTCCCAGAGGCTGAGCCCTGCAGATTGCATCACTGGCCGGCTGGTGTCTGACTGGTTTGACTAATAAGAGGCTCATACAGGAGATCAAAGAGCAAGAAGAGAGAGTGGTCAGGATATGTCTTACCCAACCTTTCCCTGCATAGGTGTTCTTTCTAGAAGCAGCTGTATTTCTTCTCCACTATAGCTCCTGATGGGTGGCTTCTCCTTTAAAGTTGCAATTCTCACTGGATTCTGTTAACACCATCTCCTCCTTTGAATCTTCAGTCCCAGAGGTACAGCTGCATCCTGCTACTGCCAGACTCTGGATGCCTTATCCTCTCTTGTTTGTTTTCTTAGCCTTGCCCAATCTATGTAAGTGGTCCCTCTAGTAAAGACTCTTCAGTGGGTGAAGAATTCACTCATCTGGGTTGAATTCTGTTTCTGGCTGGGACCCTGACTGATACACATTTTAACTGAATCATTTAAATTGTTTTGTTGAAAATAGGCCATAAAAAGAAGAGGGTAGAAACATGGAGTCTAGATGGGGGGACTTCTGCAATAATAGAGGTGAGAGATGATGGTGGTTTGGATGCATAATAGAATGGAAGTGATTGGATATTTTGATAGCAAAGCCAACAAAATTTGCTGACCTATTAGATATAATTTGTCAGAAGAAGAGGGGAATCTCAATTAACTCCAAAATCTTTGGCTTAAGGAACTTAAAGAATGGAGTTATAATTTACTGAGATGTCAAGAGGCTTGGGAAGAGGAATTCAGAAGTTCGGTTTGACACGTGTAAAATTTGAGAAGCTTTTTAAACAACTAAATGGAGATATCAGATAGGCATTTGGCTGGGAACAGCCCTTGCTGGAAATACAAATTTGGGAGTCATCAAACATTTAGATGCTCTTCAAGGTGAAGAGGCTGGCTTGCATCACCAAGTCAGTGAGGGTGGAAAAGAAAAAAAACAGTGGTGAGCACTGGAGCACTCTGAAGGTTTGCAGAGTGGAGAGATGAGGGCAGACCAACAAATGAAACAGAGAAGGAACAGTCCTTGAAGTAGGAGGAGAGCCAGGGGCTGACTGGTCAAATAACATGAGGATGGAGGACCTTGGTGGGAGCAGTCTCAGGGAATTGGTGTGATTGAAAGCCTGATTAGACAAGGGTCAAGTGAGAATTGAAGGAGAAGACTCAGAAATACAAGTCTAGATATTCCTTCGGAGTATGATAGTAAGAACATCGGCACTTTGCCGGGCTCCTTTGGCTCCAGATTTGTCCCCACATCAACTTATTCCAAACTCCTGGCAGAAGATGTGCTGCCTAATCATCAAGAGCACGGGCTTCAGAACTGACTGGCCTGCGTTCAAAACCCCAACTGTGTTTCTTACTAGCTTTGTGACTAAATACAACTTTCTTAAGCTTTCTGAGACTCTTTTAAAATGGGGATGATGATAGTGCCTGCTGGGGAATAGTAGTACTTAACCTTCATGAAGACTCAATGAGGTGATCCGTGTGCACTGTTGGTCGAGCTCTCCAGCTATTACTGTTATTACTCATCTTCTAAAAACTACAAATGTGGTTTTGTCATCACTCTTCCTTTCCACTGCCCTCCATCATGTAGATCCTAATTTCATATGCAGTCTATTTCCTTCACATTTTACACTCTAGAAATGCAAAAGTACTCTAGGCCAGCAAACTCCCCAAGGCAAAAACCTCCCCTGGGCTTTGCTCTCTTTAGGGCTCAACTCTAGGAGATGCCATTACCAGGGACCTCCACTAAGGGGCGAACAAGGACAGAGGGAGCAGGAACTGTCTACTGGAGCTTGACAGGCATCAGGAATTGGTGTTCTGATCCTGTGGTGTTTGCAGTAATCTGGGGCCCACTACCAAGGATAGCCAAGAGGTAGCACAGGGTTTATCCAAAAAGAAAGGAGGGAAAGAGAGAGAGAGATGGGGGTGGAGGGGAAGGAGGGAGGGAGAGAGAGGGAGAAGGAGGAGAAGACAGCAGGGAAGGAAGGAAGGAAGGAGGGAAGGAGGAGAGAATCTAGCAACAATGCCCCTGGTCAGCAGCTCTTCTTTTCTCAGGGTGGTGACAGAAGGAAGATTAGGAAAGGGGTGGGGAAAGAGGAGTGAGAAGATGTGGGGAAAGGTCGGGGGGAGGGGAGGAGGATGTGAGACTCAGTCTGAGAAATGAAAAAAAAGGAAGCCTTTCTGGTGGCACTCCACGCAGCCTCCTGAAGCGCAGTGCACCCAGCTGTGGGCAAGGACCCAGACACCCTGGTGCTGAGTTGAGAGGCTGAAGTCCAGAAGAGCTAAAGAAGGACAAATAAAGCCATGGTGAGCTTTTCAGCCTCAAAGGTTTCCAGATGCTCAGATAGAATCTCTTGAGATTGCAAAGACAGGTGGCAAAGGACAAGAAACAACACACTTCATTTTTGGTTTTAACAAAGCCAAGAATTAAAAATGCTGAGTCTAAAAGGTGCTTCTAGAATCTTTCTTCTCAGATGTGCTAATTTCTCTTCATTGATTTGTCTCTGGTGAGGTTCTTGAGGAAGTACTATCTTGTTGAAATGAGCACTTTTGCAGGTAAACACTGGGGCTACCTGAGAGGTGATACACTTCAGAAAATATGGTTTCAAGGTGTGTGGAGAACTTGTGGTCTGGATTCTGCAAAATGTATTTTTTTAATTGAAAAAGAAATGAACTGCTTTTCTTTATTGGTGTCTGGCTATCTAATACTTTTAAGTATTTGAAGCATCGAGCATTGTAGTCCAGTGTAAGATTTTAACATTTAAATCTCAGACCTCAATAGTTCATTAAGCATCAAAGAACACCTTAAAAATATACGTATTAAATATCAAATAATTTCATCTAACAGCTCAGTGGAAAGGAAGTACAAAAAATTATTGAAATGTAGAAAAAAGTCAGAGTAGTAATAATCAGCAATCTAAGGCTAAAACATGAAAAAGAAAAGAAAAGAAACAACTCTGTATCAGTTTTGAAGCAAATTTAATACTACTTTTTTTCGTGTACATCTAAGAAACCTCTTCCTTCAGACAGGGTTAGTGAGCATATGTATTTTATTTTGAACTTTAAGAAAGTTGCAGCCACCTCCTCAAGGTGCTGTAAAAATTGTGATTTAAAATATAAATCTAACTATAATTTTGTATTTTCTTTGCAGATATTTCCATGGAAATGTCAGAGCTCTCAGAGGGGCTCATGGAATATCTTCAAGTTGTGGGTCTGGACAGTGCTATGTTGTGGTATGTTATGGTATTTGTATATTGCTAAGCCCTTTTTAACTTATGCTTATTTTTCTTAAATATCCACTGGGTGCATGTAGTCACAGGGAAGAATATTAGATAGTTGTTAGTTCTATCCTTTCTATGAACGTCCTTTGCTTCTGTTACTTTTAGTACTTCCCCCAGAAACCTCCTAAGCCTGCCACACCCTTGTTGCATGGTCCAGATCCTGATAATCCCACAAAAGTCTTAATTATGAAGAAATAAAGTCAATTAAGGAAAATCTGATGAGACCTTTACAATCCATACCAAATATTTAGCAGGGTACTTTTATTTTTTAAAAAAGATTTTATTTTCAAGTAATCTCTATACCCAACATGTGACTTGAACTCACAAGCCCAAGATCAAGAGTCACATGCTCTTCCAACTCAGCCAGCCAGGTGCTCGGTACTTTCCATTTTTTTTTTTCAATAATTTAGTGCATGTCAATGTCATTTTGACAATTAAAGTGTGCCCTTTATATATATATATTTTTATTCTTCTCCCATTAGTGTGATAAGTTTTATGTCTGATTCTTGAAGACTCTCCAGAAGTTGTTTTGAAACCTTCTTTACCCTTCCTAAGTAAGCTAATGCTTCTTGCCCCCTAGCTTAGATTTTGAGCTCTGGCCAAGCAAATGTGCTTTCCTCTGCCCCTGACACATTCCTTATGCCATGTCTGCCTCATGTCACCTGCAAAGCTAGTGCTCTTTTCATTCAGCAAGTGTTTTCCAAGTTCCTATAATGTGCCAGGCACTGTCCTAGGCACTGAGGATACAGCACTGAACCAGTTTCTTCTCTCTTAGGACTTATATTCTGGTAGAATGTTCCTTCAAAACTCTGTTCCAGATGTTTATTTTATTACATTCTTTATTCATTAATCATATCTGTTTCTCAGTTCTCTGTTCACTTCTGATATGTTTAATTGGATCAAGATTAATTATGTTTTCTTTGTATCTGTTATTCCTTGTTTGGAATCCTTAGGAGACTGTAAAAATTGGATCTATGTTTTCTTTGGTATTTCTCCATGGTTTTTGCCCTACACAGTGAAAACTCAATAAATATTGATGACCATGAAAACGTTTACCATAATGGTAGAACAGCATTTCACATAGATCATACCATGCTTAGAATGGCATATGATACCATGAGGTCATTGCATAATTATGTGTTTGTTTTAGTTTTGTCAAAGCCCTCCTATTTGAAGAGCCCATATGATTATTAAATACCATCAGCTGAGTATTTTGTGCACAGAACACAATCTAAATCAATTTCATAATCCTGCAGCATTTGGTTTTGTAAATTATTCTTTTTAAAAAATATAGTTAGATATGTAAGGCTTGAGCTATGTATTGAGGCTTTCCCAGAAGCAGCTCTTCTTGTGGTAAAAGATTACTTTTTGATATGAAAGAGAATACTTAAAAGTATGTTGTTATTCCTGTCCTTATATTACTTCTCCCACAGAAACATAAATGTTGGCTTTTAGGAAATTATCCCAGGATAAAAAAGTGGGCAGTAAGTTTTAGGGATATATATTATACAGAAATAGAAAAAGAAATATGAATTTCTAAAATACGTTGGTTAAATTTCACTTGGAAAATTTTGAGGAAAAAATGAGGTTATGAAATAAAATCTAGGAAGCTACCAAATTTGCGATGAGCAAAAAGTATTATATATTACTGTGAAAAGTGATCAGGACCCGAAGGTCTAGGTCCCACTTAAAATCTGCAAATGACTGATTCTGTGGTCTTGGTTTAGTCATCTTTAAGTGGCAAGCTCAGCCTGGATTACTTCTAGGTTCTTTTCAGTTATAACTGAGAATCTGCATAATTCACACTCATGTCTTTCAGATTTCCTTGCACGTCATGGAACCAACAGCTGGATTTACCACTATTCTGAAGAATCCATGAACTGGGGGAGGGCTAGAAGGTACTGCCAAGAAAGTTACACAGATTTAGTTGCCATACAAAACAAGGGGGAAATTGAGTACCTGGAGAGGACACTTCCCTTCAGCCAAACTTACTACTGGATAGGAATCCGGAAAGTAGGGGGAATATGGACTTGGGTGGGAACCAACAAGTCTCTTACCAAAGAAGCGGAGAACTGGGGAGATGGAGAGCCTAACAACAAGAAGTCCAAAGAGGACTGTGTGGAGATCTACATCAAGAGGAACAAAGATGCAGGAAAGTGGAATGATGACTCCTGCTACAAAAAGAAGAGAGCCCTCTGTTACACAGGTAGGGAGTGGCCAAAGTGGAGAGAATGATGAGACTCATCCCAGAGGGATGATAGGGAAGAAAGTAGTTTCTAGTACATTCTAAAATAAATCCAGTCCTCTAAAAAAATAAAAATAAAATCATGTCACTTCTGTGCATTTTTGGCATGTGAGGCTGCTCCTAACACCCCAAAACCACACCTCTAAATCAATTTACATCAATATGTAAGTGTATGTGAGAAGTAAGCCTGGGAAGTAGAAGCAGAGAGATGGGTCTGGCCAGGAGCTCAGACTTACATGACCCCCGTTTCCTCACTGTAAGGCAGGGGGATTTATGCTCATGTTTCCTCCTTGGCTTAATCTTACATAACTCTATAGAATGAAATATTGCCATGTTTCATTATCTGTGGAGGATGGAAACTTCTGTTTTCAGTTCCAAAACAGTCAGGGTTTTTCCAAGTCATATTTCAACAATGAAACATAGTAAATTTGATCTCTTGTAAATTGGGCTTTCTACTGATTTAACAAGTTCAGACTTAATCTTTCTCTAGTACTTTCTATAAAGGAAGGGATTGTCAAGCCTATTGCAGAAGTGGTTGGCGTTGGGTCATCATTTAATCTACTTATAACATTTAAAACAAAGTATTCCAAGAGTTTTGAAGTATGTCACTAAGTTTCCCCAAAGTGTTATAGAGTATTGGCCTTGGTAAATTCATCCTATGTATATGTCTGTGGCTACATGGCCAGTATATTACATAAATAAAAAATTCTAGCATATGGTTTTATTGCAAAAAAAGCTACAAATGTACAAATAAACCTTTCCTGTTCATTAAAATAGTCGCAGCCAGAAAGTTTTCTATACCTGAAGAAATGATTATGAGTACTAAGAAGTAATCACGTTAAAATAATTTATTTCTCCCTTAAAGCTTCTTGTCAGCCCTGGTCATGTGGCAGCCATGGAGAATGTGTGGAAACCATCAATAATTACACCTGCAACTGTGATGTGGGCTACTACGGGCCCCAGTGTCAATTTGGTAAGCCCCCTTCCTGACTTGTTTCTTCCTATATATAGTTATAGGGGTTCTTGTAACTTGTGGAGGTTGACTGGGACAAAATGATACTAGCCATTCCGAGAAATGAGAAGTTTTGATCAAAAGGATATGCTTGCACAATGTTGTTATGTTTCCTGAAAGATTTCATAAGTCAGCATGAAGTTTCAAATCACTTCTTAACACGTCTTTTTGAGTTTCACAAAGAAGGCAGCTTGGTAGATTCCTGTTCTTAGGGAACTCATAATCTAGCCAACTTTTTGGATTCATTGATTCATTCAATCAAAGAAACATTGCCATTTATTGTTAGGAGGGTGAGTTAACCATTAGGTAATCTTGCTTTTTTATGTAATCCTCAAAGTTATGACAGGGCAAGTCTGAAAAGTTCACATAATGATACAAAATATAGGTCAGAGAAATATAGTAATAAATCAACACATTTATTTGGGCTAGGTATTTAGGGGGATACAAAAACAAATCTATTATAGATTCTGCCCATAAAGGATTTGCAATTAGCTAGTGGAAATTATATATGCTCATAATTTAGTTTGATGGACAGCAAGGCAAGCTGGAGTTTGCTGCCTAATGAAAGAATCTGGACTTTATTTGACAATGGGAGGCCACTTAGTATCTTAAGACCTGCATTTGGTGCAATATTCCTAGAAGCAATGCGTAAGATGGATTGAGGAACAAAAAGAGAAGATGGAGAGAATCAGCAGGAGTCAACTGAAATTATTCACAGTCATGATGGTGGAAACAGAAAAGAAAGACTACATAGACTCAAAGTCAAGGAGTCTTTGACCCAGTCAACTCACTACTGAAAGAAACATCAAATCCTTTGATTGACATTGATTGAGTTTCAAAACTATGGTTGAAGTATCTGGTGCATAGGATAGAAAATTATAAGAAGAGAACAGCAATGTTTATAAAGGATAAAGAACTAAAGCTAAAATAAATTTAGGGGAGTGGGGGGATGGGTTAGCCTGGTGATGGGTATTAAAGAGGTCACGTTCTGCGTGGAGCACTGGGTGTTATGCACAAACAATGAATCATGGAGCACTACATCCAAAACTAATGATGTAATATATGATGATTAACATAAAAATAAAATAAAATAAAATAAATTTAAAATGGAATAGGTCTAACTCATTTCACTCAATTCCTACCCAATACTTTCACTCCACTTCTGAAGTTTATTTTTTATTATTTATTTATCCTTAATATTTTTATATTTTATTTTTTAATTCTTATATCATTGGCATGCCCATTTCACTCCCTTTTGAACATTTTATTCTTTTTCTTTTTTGTCTCCGCTTCCATTTTATCATTCTTTTCTGGTCTTCTTTCTACCTATAATCATTTCTCCTTGGGTTTCTTCATGGGCACTTATCCAAGCCCATACACTATTGTTATTTCTCATTTTCTTCTATCTTTTGTCCAGGGACTCTACATGACCCCGCTTCAGTCAAACTTACCAACTTCTGTGGACTCACAGATTCATGTGAGCTTTGGACTGACAAATCTTTGTCCAGCCCTGAATATTCCAAATATGCTAAGTATATCTTTTGCGATGCCCCAAAGATTGTAAAATCAATTGTCCCAGCCAGCTTTCCTTTTTGTATTTTTATCTCAGTATGAGGCACCCCCATTTACATGAGTACTCTGGTATGAAACTCTTCCACCTCCCCTTACATTTATGCAAAGTAACACACTGTTCATTTTTATAACTTACTGTTTCTCTAATTTTCCTCCTACTTGTCAATTCTGCTACTACTGCCCTCATTCCTCCTAGATTATTGCTTTAGTTTCTTAGCTGAGTTCCACAAGTTTAAATTAGCTCCCCTTAAATATACTATTCATACTATAGGCAGGCTGATTAATCAAAAACAACCAAACATCACACATATACCTACCCTTTAATTTCTAACTATCATTTGTCCTACAGGATGAAATCTGAATGCCTCAAGCTTAGAGAATTGCTTAATACATCGTAGGTACTCATTAAATAATTGAAAAAAAGATAACAGCATTTTACCTTAGCTCCTACCTTTCTTTCTAATCTCATCTCCCATCAGCTCCTGCCTCCTCTTTCCTTCTAGTAACATTAAAATGCTTGTAGTTCTCCACATTTTTCATGCGTGCTTTGTATCTCATTGACTTGCTCGTGGCTTTCTCCCTCATTTTGCACATGGCTAACACACCTATTTGTCTTTAAGACATAGTTCAGGGACCAATTTTCTTCAGAAAACTTTCTTTGGACCCTAAGACAAGCTAAGTCTCCAAATTCCATGTTCCAATAGCTGCACACATTTCACTCTTGTTTATCCCACATTTGTTGAAGTCATCCATGTACTTGTCTGTAATCCCTGGTAGACTGACAGCTGCTTGAGATCAGTATTATTTACCATTTCATATGTCAGATTGAGACTATGCCTGGATATATTAGGCACTTATTTGCAGGCATGAGTTGAATTGGAGAACGTAAGTTAATTTGGACTTGTACTGTATATGGAAAATATAAAAATGTTCTAGTTCTTCAAGTCCATTCTTCATTGAAATCTCAAAACTAAGGTCACAATGATGGCTCAAATTTGATAACCAATAGGACACAAGAGTTGAAATAGTTGTTCAAATGGCATGGCAGGGCCTAAAAATGTGAAGAATGATTTCCAAGGTTCAATTTGATCTACTATGATACCACAAGTCAGAGCAGGGAAATAGTTTCTGGAGGGGACTGGAGGTAGAAGCTAGAGAGGGTGAAGACAGAATCAAGGCTGAGATGTTTCCTAAAGCTTTCCCACTCTTTTTCCACACCTCCTGCTCCCAGCACTCTAATATACCTAGGAGCTCTGATGTGACAGTTATTTCCAAATTGAGCTGGTCATTCCATGTGAACCTATGCAGGTTTAAACATCCTCTCCTCAGATAATGCCAACAATAATAAAAAGACTAGCTAGTGTTTAATTAGGACTTCCTATGAGCCAGGTTCTCTCTCTTTTTTTTTTATTATGTTATGTTAATCACCATACATTACATCATTAGTTTTTGATGTAGTGTTCCATGATTCATTGTTTACGTATAACAACCAGTGCTCCATGCAGAACGTGCCCTCTTTAATACCCATCACCAGGCTAACCCATCCCCCCACCCCCTTCCCCTCTAGAGCCCTCAGTTTGTTTCTCAGAGTCCATAGTTTCTCATGGTTCATCTCCCCCTCCAATTTCCCCCACTTCATTCTTCCCCTCCTGCTATCTTCTTTTTTTTTTTTTTTTAACATATAATGTATTATTTGTTTCAGAGGTACAGATCTGTGATTCAACAGTCTTACACAATTCACAGCGCTCACCATAGCATATACCCTCCCCAATGTCTATCACCCAGCCACCCCATCCCTCCCACCCCCCACCACTCCAGCAACCCTCAGTTTGTTTCCTGAGATTAAGAATTCCTCATATCAGTGAGGTCATATGATACATGTCTTTCTCTGATTGACTTATTTCACTCAGCATAACACCCTCCAGTTCCATCCACATCATTGCAAATGGCAAGATTTCATTCCTTTTGATGGCTGTATAATATTCTAGTGTGTGTGTGTGTGTGTGTGTGTGTGTGTGTGTGTGTGTGTATATATATACCACATCTTCTTTATCCATTCATCTGTCAATGGACATCTTGAGCCAGGTTCTCTTTTAAGCCCTTGACTTACATTAGATCATTTAATTCCCATACCAACTCTAGGAAGTTAACACAGTCATCATGATTCCTGTTTCTTTTTTTTTAAAGATTTTATTTATTTATTTGAGAGAGTGAGCAAGAGAGAGAGCATGAGGAGTGGGGAGAGGCAGAGGGAGAAGGAGAAGCAGACTCCCCACTGAGCAGGGAGCCCAATGTGGGATTCAATCCCAGGAAACTGGGATCATGACCTGAGCTGAAGGCAGACGCTTAACCGACTGAGCCACCCAGGCGCCCATGATTCCTCTTTCATAGATGAAGAGATTGAAGCTAGAAGGGTTAATTTACCTTGTGCCAAGGCAGAGCTAGGATTTAAACCCAGACATCAGGTCCTCTTCACACTAGCCAATGCTGTTTCTTTTCTTACTGCAGTGATTCAGTGTGAGCCTTTGGAAGCCCCTGATTTGGGGAGCATGGACTGTAGTCACCCCTTAGGGAACTTCAGCTTTATTTCCACATGCACCTTCAACTGCTCTGAGGGAACAGACCTCATTGGGATTGAGGAAACCACTTGTGGACCTTTGGGAACCTGGTCATCTCAAGAACCAACCTGTGAAAGTGAGTAACTCTTCAGACTAGAGGTTTTGTCATGGCTGCCTTGGGTTTACAAACTGAGATAATGCAGTAGAGACTTGCTAAGAAGTCTCTGTCCTCTTTGGAACATAATTTAATCTAACTTAGATCACACTGTGATATTTTTTAAAGGGATTGTTGTTGCTCAAATCAAAAAGAAAAACCACAAACAAAAAACAACCAAATATCTCTGAAACCATCTCACAATATGTACATAATTTCAGTAATACATGATGTGATTATACCGTAATTTTTATTTTAGTTTTCTCATTGTCTTGGCAAAAATAGTCTTGCTGAACCTCAGTTAAATGTTGGTTGTTCTGTCCTCTCAATAACCCTTTTTATGTGGCATCTTACTGAACACCAACCAATTTCCTTCCCCAGGGGGTTGAGGGTTTTGGTGTTCTTCTTCTTCTTCTTTTTTTTTTTTTTAAGTGGGCTCCACACCCAGTGTACCCAACACAGGGCTTGAACTCACAACCCTGACTGAGATCAAGACATGAGCTGAGATTAAGAGTCAGATGCTTAACCACCTGAGCCACCCAGGAGCCCCAGTAGAAGCTTCTTTTGATTGTTTTATTTGGTTTATTCTTAAAATCATTTTTACTTTTCCTCCTCTGTGAACTCTCAGGGGAATAACAACTATGTGAAAAACAAACACATAGTCTCTTGATCTTTTTTTTTCTCATTTGAAATATGGTGGGTTTTTCTTTTTAACTGTCAAGAAGACTATCCCTATATGGGAGAAAACTGGTGGCATCTGAACCTGTGAAGTTTTAGTTACATTTTCTACGTCTATGCATCTGACTCACTATTTTAAGTGGTTTAATTCTCAAAAAATCATCAAAATCATATTGAATCATAAAACTAAGTTGACTAACCTGCTGAATTTTACAAAAGTTGAGTGACCTGCTTCAGAGAATTGGGGTGTTTTTCAACACTGTTTGTCAAGTAAAAGGGTGGGAATTCTCTGCATTCACTGAGCGTATTACATGAGAGCTCTTGAGGCCAAGGCTGTGTAGTATGGCACATTTCCAGCAGTGCTGGACAGTTACCAAGACTGGGGCAAGAACCTGGAGCAGCCAACTCTACCCTCTGCTCCCCTCCTTATCACCTCCCAAGGGCTGTCAGTGCTCCTGGCTTCCCCTCTGACTCACCATTCTCCATTATTCTCAAGAAAATAAAGTCTGGAAGCAGCATTATCAGAACTAATTTTTAGAGATTATAAATGTCTAGATTCAATCAGGTGGTTCTACAGTTGAGTCAAGCAACTTTGGCTAAAAACCTTTGGTCAAGAGAGGGTCCCTGCTCAGAAATACTGCTTTTTTCTTTTTCACTGAAGTGATTCAATGTGAGCCTTTGGAGGCCCCTGATTTGGGGACCATGGAGTGTAGTCACCCCTTGGGAAACTTCAGCTTTACCTCCACATGCACCTTCGAATGCTCAGAAGAAACGGAGTTAATCGGGGAGAGGAAAACTATTTGTGGATCATCTGGAATCTGGTCAAGCCCTAGTCCAAAATGTCAAAGTGAGTAAATTTGCCCTGATATACTGAAGATTTAAAAATGGAGTTGGTAGATGGGGAGATAATGGGGAAAGATAGATTAAACTTTTAAATTTCATTTTGCTAAATGTGTATGGCCTAAAGATAAATTTGTGCACATTAATTTACTGTAAAATCCTGGGCTGTTCTAGGTCTTCCTTCAATGGCAGCCATTTCTTTCTTCAGCTGTTTTTCAACTCCTAACTTAACTCTTAACATCTAAAGGCACTGTCTCTGACTTATTTCGTATTCATTCTTCTATTCTACTACTATCTCACTTCCGTTAGTCCATTAAAATGTCCCGACAAAGGTCACCAGTGACCACCTAATTCCCAAAATAGTGGATATTTCTCCATTATCACTAAGCTGATGCCTCTGTAATCTGTGTATGAGAAGGACTCTGTCTTCCTCATTTCCATGGACTCTCCACTCGACATGGTGCCCATGCTAAATCAGGTAAATAAATAAGTTGTCCTCTGTTTGGATCATCTGGGAACTTGAGCCTTTTTTCTATTATACATTTGGGTGTGAGAGTGGAAGCACCTTGAGAGAATTCATCAAAGTAACACCAAGAATAAGGGACACAGACCCTGTACTAATATGCAAAAGTACGTTTGTTTAATTCATGGTATCGGAACGTAGATTTTTTTCATATGGGTAGTTTTTCAACAAAAGTTCCCAAATGAACTTAGTTCACTCTTTCAAGAGAATATAGGTGTATCCATCTACTTATTTGTGAAGGAAGTAGAAATATGTGGTAGGACCACATCATTTAAAAGACAGTTTAGTGTAGGTCCTTGGCATGCAAACAACAAGTGCATATGTTTGCACAGCTGTTTCAAAGTAAAAGCACTAAAAGTTTCCTTTGATTGATATGTTACCTGGTTCAGATCACTGGCTTTTATTTTTCTTGAAGTCTTATTAGACATGTTAGGTCTTCTCAGTGTCATAGAATCCCAACTATTGAACAAAGCCATGGAAATAAATACAATGAGGACCACTTTTTGCCAAGATTTTTAGGTACTTCTTCCGGGAGTTCCATGAATTGCAAATCTGGAGACTAAGAATTTATAGGCATTGGGCTAGAAAATTTGTCCTGTCTCTGCCTCTGCTGTAGGCTCATCGTGGTCTTTCCCATGCCAGTTTCATCATCTATCAAAGGGCATCAAATGGGCTATTACTGGGAGACGTGGGGAGGAACAAAGCCTACTGTCACGAGATGGCACTAAGTACATAGTGCTGTGGCCTCGTGATCTGTTCCTTTCTGATCTCTCTTTCAGAAGTGGACAGGAGTTTCTCAACGATCAAGAACGGCGACTATAACCCTGTCTTCATTCCGGTGGCAGTCATGGTTACTGCTTTTGCTGGGCTGGCATTTATCATTTGGCTGGCGAGAAGATTAAAGAAAGGTATGTGAGTTTGCCTTCGTATGAATGTAATACAATTCAAAGTGGAAAAAATATAGAAACACACAGGAAATTAAGTATGATCAGTTCAACTGAAGCAAAATACCAAGCTCTGTGTTCTATAGACATCATCCCTGAGCATGTGTGAGACAGCCCATGCACACTTCCATTAAAACAAGTTGACTGATTTGTGATTTTCATCTGACAAACCTTTTAAAAATGCCTACTGTCTTCAAGGCACCATGCTAGGGTGATAATAGACAAATGAGATATTTTAATGGTTCTTCGCTCTTCTTTAATTCTGAAAAAAAGGATGCATAATATCTGTCCTCTAAGAGCCTAAATGCCTTTGATCTCAATGCTACAATTCCACTAGAAAAGGAATCTAATGTCCAATAAGGTTTTTAAGGCACAGTTCCCCAAAACCTGAGTCACATACCTGTCTGGCTTCTTACATGTGGGAATTGCATTGTCCCTGGAAAAAAATCCTCACATTTTCCCCCCATGTCTATTCACTGAGGTCACAGTTCTAACCAAATGCACAGCATTTGCCTCCCCTCCACTCTGGTCTGGAGAAGAAAAGGGAATGAGGGCTGTTTGAGAAGCCAATAGCTACTGCCTGGCACAATACATGGGACACCACCAGGGAAAAACAACAGCATCACTCCCCTCACCTCCCTCCTGAGTATGTCCAAACCTTAAAGTGGGACCGACTTGCTGGTTATAGGCCCACAGTCTGTGTCAGGCCCTGAGTATGCACTGCCACATTTGGCCAAACTCACCTGGCAGAAACATTTAAGACTAGAAAATTCATGGACATTAGCAGCTTTTGAGATATCGCTGCCTTAAGTTCAGAGGCCATCAATGATCTCAAAATAACTGCTAACCCAATGTTTGGTATTGCCTTTCTATGGAGTCAGTTGATGATTGCCATTTTAGTTTTACTTCCATCAGTTAATTAGTATGTATTCTGTTCAATGAGTATGGTCTATAAAGGCTGCCTCTCACCGATCCTCACTGCCAGTTGCAGGAATATTATCTACCAATCCCCAATGGTCTTCTACTGTGATCTGATCTTTCATTCCAAATATAAGAATGATACTAGATTAGTTTTATAACCAACCCAGAAAGATGATGGAAGGGGGGCACTGTTGATGTACAAGAGCTTCCTTAGTGTCAAGTGAGGGCACTGAGCAGTTCAAGTGTCTCTGCTCCTGCTCTTGGAAATTCTGCTAAGACTGGATCCCATCATCTTACAGTATGATATGAAGTACTCAAGTATTACTCTAAGGCACAGGAAGAATGAGATTTTTTTCTCCCGCCATTGATTATCCTTTCCATTGAGACTTCAAAGCCTGACAGCAATTGTCCTTTTTTCCCTCCTACCTTGGATGATGGTGACAGAACTGAGGGGTAGAGAATGCAGTGGACCATTACATACCACCCTCTGGGAGACGGGGCTGTTCTCTAAATAACCTTTAAGGATTTGGGGGCTGGGAGTCACCTTAATAAGTAGGATATCCCCAAATTCCAAAGTCTTTTAATAACTGTTAGTAGAATCTAAAGACTAGAATGAAGTCACTTGTATTCAGTGGCAGGGTGTGTGGTGAAGGGTGGGGGTTAGCTGGTGAAGGTGGCTCTCTCAGCAGGGGTGAGAAAAGCAGTGGGGTTGTTTTTAAATTTTTTTTACCTTGGAGTCATTTCTGTACAAGATCTCAAACTGATAACCTGAAAACTACATGCCCCTGCTGTGGGAATAAGTGTGGGGCAAACAGGAAACAGATAACGGGCAGTTGGGCTAGATAAATGTATGCCAACAAAAAGAACCAAAGCCCCAGAAGATCACTGACTCTGTAGGAGAGTCAGGGTATCTTTAACGTAGCATTTTAATAGCCTTCATTTGTGGAACATCTTCTTATATTTCCAATTTTCAAGTGACTTTATCTTCCAAAGATTGTAGTTGTAAGTTAGTTCTTTGCAACAAGAAGAATGTTTTTCCTGTAGAACGGTGTTAGGAATGATGGTTAGGTTCCCAGGCTAACCCCTCAGAGCTTTTCTAACTGTGTAGCTGACACATTTACAAGAAAAAAAAAGTTAAAAGCAATAAATCTGCATGTGTATAGTAGTTATCAACTCTGAGGAATTCATATGTGTTTTGGGTTCAGCAAGCTGGAAAAAGAAGACAGGTGAATATTTAGGACATAGTAGCCAGTGAAATGACTAGATTCTTGACTCCTGTCCTGTCCTTGGATGGATCTTCTAAAACTGCAGTTTGACACCTGCCCTAGTTGTCTCGATATCCAGGCTTTTGCTCCATTCTTCTGGAAAAGACATAAATGCAAGCTCCAGATATGCGTGCCCGTCTGTATGGGCTTGTCTAGAAACACATTTCCCCCCTCAATAATCATTCTCTGATTAGTCATTATCATTGTCCCTGTTTGATAAATAAGGAAACTGAGGCAGGGATTTTAGGTCAAATGTCTCAAGTCCCATATCAGCAGGGGCCAGAATCAAGAGAGCAGACTCCCATCCACACATGCCCCTTAACACCAGTGGTCTTCAGATTAATGAAGCTCTATATTTTCTCTTGGTTGGAAGAATTCCCCACCTGAACCAACCCACAAGGTTAGAACAAGACATGAAACTGAACACATGCCCCTTAGTTCCTTTTTCTTCAAAAAGAACTCTCTCAGTAGTAACAGATTCTTGCCCATATATTATTATGTGTGTCATTGTTCCTAAAAGGAAAATATATTTATATGAAGATAAACAGAACCTGAAGTTAATTAAGATTTAAGTTTCTTTGCTCAAATGCAAACAGCCAATGACATCAGCAGGCTGAATTTTGGAGGAAATGTGTAAAAGAGTAAATTCTAATATTTTAAAGGTTTAAAACAATATCTGAGCGCTGTGTATGTGGTAGGCCCTGACCTAAGTAGTTTGAATACATTTTATTTTACCAACTCAGCGAAGAGTCATGCTCCTTTCACAGATGAAGGAACTGTGGCTTGAGAGGCTAAGCAGCTATTCAGAGACACACCACAGTTGATAAAACAGGATTTGCACTCAGACTGGATGATTCTAGAGCTCCAGTTTATAGCCACTGAAACACAGTGCTTCCCAATGATTTTTTTTTCTCAAAAAGCTTTTTTTTTGCTTTTATTTCCTCTGGAGTCCAACTCTGCATTTCTTTCATTAATCTATTTATTTATACTCTTTTCTTTTTCAGAAATAATGTAAGATGGTTTATGAAATGTATTCAGCACAGAAAGTTAAAATTAGTTTAAAAGTAGGTAAGGAAAGGAAGGCCAAAATTTAGGGCATAAAAAGAGTTGGAGCAAGAGGTGAAGTTAGTACACAAAAATGTGTGTCAAAGGCCTGTACACTTGATAGAAAAGGGTCTCAGCTCTGGCTCTGTTTCCCGACAGCCAGTCAAAGAAGGGAGCATAAGTAGTTATGATATTTACTGTGTTTGTAAGATAAAAACACATCAGTTACTCAGATGAATGAGTAATTCCTACCACTGAGACCCAAGTGAAATTTCTTTGTGGATTCTCACAGACAAAGTGGTGTGAGACGTAATGACACATATTCTTACAGTATTACTAGCCAAGTCTCTTAGGGAAGAACCTGCAGGTGGGCTGAGATGGCGGACGGGAAGAGGTAAACATGTGTATAGGCATAGTGGGACTGACCATCAGGCAATTCGGGCTAGACTTCCATCTCTATGATCAGCATAAAGGATGAGATGGAATGCAGAAGCATCTGTATCAATGAGTCTATTATGTATGAGTATATACCACTTTTTCAATTAGCACATTAAGCCAGCATCTCAAATCCCCTTACACACAGCTGGGGTCCACCAACAAATACACAATACACCTCAAAAGCCAATTTTGGGAGTAGGACTCTGCCTTCTCTCTTACAATTGGAATTGTCTACTTTCACTGATGCCATTTTTCCTATTTCTTCTATTTTTAGGTAAACAGTCCCAGAAAAGGTAAGTTTCATCAGTGAGAAGTTTCTACATCTGTTGATCTTTTCTCTACCTTCCTTGAGACACTTCCTGTTATAGCTAGACATGTTAACTCCTTAGTAACTATTTACATGAGGTCTCATTCAAATGAAGTTTCCATATAAAGTGATAATCCACCAGCCTCCTCTAAAAGCTGTGCTTTTGGCTTTTTTGTGTGTGGGTGGTTTTGTTTTAGTGCCAGGGGATTAGAATGATTGATTGAATGAATGAATGAATGAATGAACAAATAATGCCCTATTAAGAAAGGGCAGTTATGTGAAGGGAGCTCTTTCTGATTATCCCTGAATTTTCTGTAAGGATTGGAAGCATGATGATTTCTCTCTTCTTGTCCTAGAGGAATATAAGGGCAATACCAAATACAGTGTTTGGGAAACATTCAATTCATCAAGCATTTATTGAGAAACTAATAAATCCCAGGCCCTAAGAAGGTATAATTCTGGACCCCAGGCCTTCAGTGCCTAGTATAAGAATGTAAATGACTACTGCTCTGATAAGCATTGACCTTCAGAAACGTGGAAGAGGTAGGGAACATGAATTCTGCCTGTGGCTTCTGCAATGAGGCAATTTTTTTTAGCTTGGTCTTGAACCTCAGATTTTTTTCAGCTGGAGAAACACAGACTGAGAAGCGATGCAGGCATATGTAAATACACGGGTCAGTGGGCAGAAGTGAACATGGCAAAACATTTCTGTTTCAGGGGTTCAGTGACTTGCTTAGAGATTTTGGGAAGGACAGTGTAAGTAGGAAGAACTATGAAAGTGAGACTTTGGTGACATACTGAGGGCCCGGTTAGAAAACTGAGCTCATTTTAAAATGCTGGAAGAAGCGGGATGGTCCCTGAGGATGTTGGTTGCTTGTTCAGGCAACCATGCTACCAACCACAAATTGTTATGAAGAAGTTCTTACTAGTTCAGTGAACTGTAGCTTTGAGTGCAAAAGAGAAACCATGAGACTCAACTAGAGGGAACAAACTGAGGGTTGCTGGTGGGGAGATAGGTGGGGGGGATGGGGCAGGTGATGGGCATTAAGGAGGGCACGTGATGTAATGAGCACTGGGTGTTATATGCAACTGACGAATCACTAAATTCTACCCCGAAACTGATAATATCCTATATGTTAACTAAATTGAATTTAAATGAAATATTAAAAAAAGAGAAACTGGGGAGATATAAGGCAACATAAGCCAGATCATAGAGTAATTTATAAGCCATATTAAGGAGCATGGACTTAATCCTCAGGTCTTTTCAGATAAAGCAGGTGAATGTCATGCTGAAATTTTCACCTTATGAGGGTCATTCTGCAAACAGGGGAGTTGGGTGAGCCTGGAGGCAAAGAACTGATTTGGAGGCACTTGAAGTTATTAAGTTAAAGCTGATGGTGCCTGTCTAGAGAAATAGCAGTGAGGTTGAGTTCATGAGGTAAGAGGTAAAATCAAGTGAATATGGTAATTAATTCACTCAGTGAGAGAGAGAAGAATCAAAGAAGTCATTGTGGTTTTGATGGGGAACTGGTGGATGGTTACTGTCTATACTATACTATTTACTGACAAGGGAACATAAAAGAATGAGAAATTTTGGAGGTGAAGATCATAGGTTCAGTTTTGTCTGTGTTGAGCTTTAGGTGTCTGTGGCTTATCCACAGTTGATTGGTTCAATCTGTTGCACAGGGTCCACCTTGGGGCAGGAGAGTGGATTTGGGGATTCTCACATTCCAGGAAGTTAACTGCTCTTTTGGGAGCAGGTACAGTCATCTGGGAAGCATGTGGAGTGGGAGAACAGAAGATGATGTGGGAGAGAGGGCAGGAACCTGGGTAAAATCCATATCAAACGGGTTGACAAGAGGCGCCTGGGTGGCTCAGATGGTTAAGCGTCTGCCTTCAACTCTGGTCATGATCCCAGGGTCCTGGGATCAAGCCCCACATTGGGTCCTGGCTCAGTGGAGAGCCTGCTTCTCTCTCTCCTTCTGCCTCTCCCCCCGCTCATGCTCTCTCTCTGTATCCCTGTGCCTCAAATGAATAAATAAAAAAATCTTAAACAAAACAAAACAAAAACGGGTTGACGAAGGAAAAGGAGAATGGGGAGAAGTTGCCAGAGAGGCAGAAGGAAGATGAGGAGAGTCTGGGTTATGAATGCCAAGGAAAGAAGGAAGTAGAAATTGTTTCAAGGGCTTCTGGGAGAGCCAGTGAGTTCTCACTGAATGTAACAAGGGTATCAGTGCAGAGACTGTTTTGCTTGAGGTCATGATGGAAGTCTGATAGCCAGGTGTTTAAGGTTCAGTGGGGATGAGGAAGTAGAAGAGCATGTAAGCCATCTCTTTTTAAAAAGCTTGCCTAGGAGATGAGACAGGAACTGGATGACTGGATAAGAACATCAGGTCAGTGGAGGTTCTCATATTCTATTTTATTTTATTGCCCTGTCTTCCATTCAATACTGTAGATGGGGACCTAGACCCTTCTCTGGGCTGGGCTCCCTATCTCTGTGGGCAGGAAATCCACAAGATGTAAAGATCTCTTTCATGCTCACACCCACTGAGTGAAAGTCTTTTCTGGCACAATCCACCCAGGGCTGTTTTCTCGTCACAGGAACCACCTGTTTTTTAATTGCCACTAGATGGAAGCAGATCAATTCAATTTTTTAGGAGACCTTGGGGGACAAGAAGAGAGGCTGGCAAGAAGAGTATTAGCATTAAGTTCATTACCACACTCAGCTAATTGCCATATTAAGTTTAATGGCTCACTGATTTTTACAATGAACCAATCAATAGTTGTTTATTGCATACTTTTGTGTTGGAACAATGCTAAGCTTGACTGAGACACCAAGAAGAGTAAGTCCTTGACCCTGACCTCAGGGAGATTATTATCTAGTTGAGTAGTGAAGACAAAAAAAATATTTTCAGAAAAATATAAGGCAGAGGATGGTAATAGACAATGAACTCTGTGTTAAAGGACTTTTTCGATACAGAAGAAGCTTGTTGATCACAGAAAATCTTATAAAGAGGGTGGACCCTGGGTTGGTTTTGAAGAATGGATGGGATTTAGGTGTATGGAGAGAAGCAGGGGAGACCACAGGGAAATGATTTAAACATGCTATGGTAGTGGGGCTGGGACAGTGTGTGCAGGGGGCAGTGACTGGAACTGCCAAGAGTCCAGGGTGTAGAGGAGCTGTGAACAGAAGTTGGAAAGGAAGGCTGGCCCCATCAAGATAGGTCCTGAATGTGTCACTAGATGTTCTAGAAGGACTTAGCAAAGCAGTGTTTGCCCAGCTGCCTTGAGACACCTCTCATTTATTGACCAAAGTGACTTTAATTCATAGAATTATAAAATTTTAGGTCTTGAAGGGATCCTGATGGACATCATTTTCAAACTCTCTTTATAACTGAGCTAAAGAACTTTCCTATATGCCCTGAGCTAGTGACATAGTTAAGATAATTGTAAACATTTATGAAACATTAATTCCATGCTGCACACTGCTCCAAGTGTTTTAGGTGTCTGAAATCATTCAACGTTGCCTACAAGCCTGTGGGGGAGAAGTACTATTAATACTCTCATTTTACATGAAGGAACCGAGGTAAAGAAAAACAAAATATCTAGTCTGAGGTCACTGAATAAATGACAAAGCTGAGATTTATACCATCTGGATCGAAAGATCATGCTTCATCCTTATGCTTCTAGAATGCAGGACTCAGTGATTGAGCTCTAAGTCCCAGACACCCTCCTCTCCCAGTGATGCAATGATTTTTCTCCCCGAAACCATTTGTGATGGCACTGAGGAAGGGTGGGATGGAAGAAGTAGAGTGTGTTTCTAGAACAAGCCAAACATAAAATGAAAACCATCACACTAAATATTGGAGCAATTTTTTAAAGCCCTGGAGCCAACCTGCATAGTCCTGTGTGCTCATCCATAAAAGCTCTTCACTGGTGAATGACCAACACCTAGGGCATTTGTGGTTTCAATTCTTGCCAGGTTATTTTCACTCTTCTGCAAATTGGTTCTGTTTACCACCTCATTTGGTTTCTAGTGTCTAAATTCTGCCTGGGTAAAAGCTACACCCAAGATACACAGGAAGATACGATGCCAACCTCAGTGGAGGGTATATGTGAAATTTTGTTTTCAGAAACATTTTTATCTCTGTATTGGCAAGCACATTTGCAGCTGCTGAACTGTGGTTTACCCTGGCAGTTCATCATGAGAGCAGTCTCAGAATCTGGTTCTCCCTTTGAAAGGTGCTATTAAGACATGCCATAATTGCCTCCCTCCTCCCTCCCCCCTCTCCCATCCCCTGCAAGAATGAGACAACTGTGTCACACATACAAAAAGGTGTCATTTACAAAACTAGATTTGTAACCATTTCCTTAAATCATGTCCCACCAGAATCAGGCATTTAGAGTTACTACCATACCTTTCATAAGTTTTGATTTTTCTCTAATTTTTCTTTCTATTTGAGCATTGTCAACTTCTGCTTTTCATTGACTGCCCACCGCTCAAAATCTATCTAAAATGGCCTTCATACTCATTTGATCCTAAAACAAAGGTTGTGCCCCAGAAATGTCTCCAGGTGTGGTCCATGGATCTGCAGCATGAGCATCACCAAAGAGCTTGTTAGAAATGCAGAATCTCGGGCCCCACACAGACCTACTGAATCAGTCAGCATTTTAACACCACCTCTGCGTGGCAAGCACCTGCAAGTGTGAGAAGCATTGCTTTAGGGGTTTCTTCTCATTCCTTCGCCTTAGTGAATGTCCTGTGTCTTGTCCAACCTATCTGAAAGGCGTTTCCTTCACTCCTTTTCTGACGTTCAGTGAATATTTACCTATACTAACACTGTTAAGTTTTACAATTTTTAATCTCCTTATTTTAATTTATATTCTCCTGTTTTTCATTCAGCAAAAATGATCCATATTAAAGCAGCCTCTGTGAAAAAAAATTCTTGGGATACTAAAGTGTCACTGGATCCTTCAAATCCCTCCCTGAAAAGTATCACATGGTGGTGTCTCCGATATTGAAGATGGAGTGCTTCTCTTTCTGTGCATCTGGAAAGATTTCTACAGGATCAGCAGCTGTTTCTGCTCCCTATGTGCCCCTCACCCACCCCTGCACCCCTGCCTACAGTTGTGCTTTATATTGCTTGTGTTTATTCTCTTTTTCATGGACCATGAGGGGAGAAGATGGCTTTGGAATATAAAGATGTCCGATTTTGCTCTCTATCTTGACTCTACTTCCAGTTCCAACTCAGGGCTGTACCTGATGACCTTCTGTACCTGATGACCTTAAATACAGTGGAAACCTGATACATGTGTTCCTACAGACTCAATTTTGTTGCAAGTCACATTTTATCTCCCCTGCCCTCCAGTCGCCTCTAGGGGTACATTCTTAAAGTTCATAAAAGTGGTGTTATCCAACTCCAGCAAAATAATGAGGTTCAGCTCCAAACAGAGAAAGTCCTACTTGCACAGTAGCCTCACCTTCTGTAAATGGTGGCCATCCTATTTAATTGCCTCCAGCCTCCCCACCTTCTCTCTCCTCTTCCCAGTTGTCTGGCTTCCACAGGTAGCATCTCATGAGCACCAAACCAAAAGAGAGAAAAGCGAGATAGCCTGCACTGATATATTTTTTTTTTTTTTGGTTTTCAGTGTTGCTCTTTTTATTGGACCTACCAAGATGTCTTGTATTTGATGCTTTTTTTTTTAGTGACCACTATATTGTTAATAAAAAAATCACCAGAATGCTAGCTGCAGGCAACATGTCTTCGATGTCAGTTTAAACAAGAAGAAAGAGAGTCCTCTCACCCCAGACCTCTTACCCATCTACCAAGATTCTCTCTAGTCTTTAAGATCCATCTCAAACACCCTCCCCACCCCACCTCCACTTTTTTCATAATTAGTCCTTTCATAGCTAGTCCAGACCTGTGGCCTCCTGCTGCAAGATTAGTCTACAACATGCAGTTTTGTACTTAGTTTTTTTTTTTTAATGTTACCTCCTCTGTTATTTCAAAATTTATCATGCGTATGTTTTCTCTCAGTGAAATTCTACCCTCCTTAAAGGCAGATATTGTGTCACAGCCGTGGAGTGTCTAGCTCATTACTAGACACTCAGTAAATATGGATTCATGTAACTCAGAAAGAGCATACACTGTACTGTTGATATAAGTTGCAGCAAAACCTCTCTCCATGCATGTGATGACTTGAACAGATACTCATCTAATGTGGCTAACTTCTTACAACGGAATAGGGGCCTGGTAAAAACTAGTTGAAATCCCTTCTTGCCCCATGGCCAATACCACTTTCATACAAGAGTATACATGTTATGATAATGATTTTTTGCTAATGATTATATTTTCTTTCCTCAAATCCATCTCAGATCCTGCTTTACAATATGAGCTGTTGCAAAAAAATTCTCCATGTTCTATACTATGAATCTAGGCTATACCATTCACCTTCATGTAGCTTATGATACATCCTTTAGAGTTATACAGTGCACAACCTGCACAGACTCACACAGCAGCCCTGATTGCAAGGCCTTATTCGACTAAGACATCAGAATCAAAGAAACCACATGGTGGCTACTTCTTGGGAATAAGATGTGTATAGACTTAAAAACACAGTCCTTTGTTTGAACCCTAAGGCTACTATGTGATCCTGGGAATTATGTCATGCTATATTTGTTAGATAAAGACTCATTTTAGACCCAAAGACACCCCCAGATTGAAAGTGAGCAGGTGGAAAACCATTTACCATGCCAATGGACACCAAAAGAAACCTGCGGTGGCAATCCTTATATCAGACAAATTAGATTTTAAACCAAAGACTGTAATAAGAGATGAGGAAGGACACTATATCCTACTTAAAGGGT